GGGATCTCAGGCTGCAGAGTTCCATGAGAAAATAAGTTGTGTTCTGGGAAAACTGTGACTAACTCCAATTTTTCTGGCAGAACATTGGAAATAGAAAAAAACTGAGGAGTGCAGGCAGATCTTAAAGGGCCAGTCACTGGATGATAATTTGCCACATTGGGACCCAGCTGTCTCCAAGGCCATGTATATTAATTAACTCGTTCTCCACTCCTTTAATGAATCTTTTCCAGTGTCCCCAGACTTAATCATACTGAGGCTTTAGCATAAGGAAATGGGGTGGTCATACTCCAGCTAAACATTAGGATCAGAAGAAGTCAAAGGAACTGAGCTTAAGAAAGCAGGGTTTTGGTGAGAAAGATGCTCCCACTTTCTAGGCTTTGGCAGCAGCAATCTCTGCTCTAGATAAAGAAGTGGCCCACATGTTATGGTGATTTCTCTAGCACAGCAACTCTGGCTTGAGTCCCATCTCACTGAAGATGGCATCAGGAGCCAAGTGGAAAATATCTTTTTCTTCACCCGTGGATCCCACTAGCAGATTTTATCACTCCTTGATGCCAACAGAATCAATAAAGATGAGAGCAATTTGTCCTTGTCCCTCAGGTAAGTGCAGAATGGGTGGCTACTCCGTCTTGACCATTTAAAATCTAGGAAATGAGAAATAGCCCACAAGGTAACTAGCATTCACCTCCATTGCACTGGATGCATAGTGTATGGACAAGTTAATGTTCTTCAAAAAAAAAAAAACTTGTTGTATTCACTCACAGAATAACTGGGTCTCTATCACCTGTCCACCCTCTCTCTACCCTGTACAGAGCATCAAAAATCGGTCCTGTATCACTTCCAGTTGCTTACGGTTTTTCTTTTTAATGTAAATGGTAAATACTAGCATGCAGATCAGAGAGTGACTAAGTCTGCAGTGACGAGATGGGTAGATGGACCTGTTGATGTCTAATAAGGTTTTATAACATGGCCTTTCTCTGAATCGCTAATGCGGGAATCTCCATGCTTGTACGTAACTGAAGGCGGTGAAGCCAGTCTCTAATTCAAGAGTGTGTGGTCTGAGTGTTCCAAAGTGTCCCACTCTTCGCACATTACCCAGTTCCGCATCACCTTTCTTAACATCGCCTTGGAAGCGAAGAGTTCGCCATGTGAGCTGTGGGGACCAGGAATCACATCAGACCATGTGCACGCTGCTTGTGTGCTTTCCTGTGAGAATTCGGTGAGGGTCAATCATGCTATTGCACCGCTGTGGAACCCCTTCCCAGAACCTCTTACCGACGGAAGTGTGTGCTGTGCTGTATAGCAGTTATTGTTCCTTATCTTTTTTAAATATAAACAGCATCATTTATCGAGCAATTTCCTAATCTTTTGATTAATATTTCTGTGGGTATTCATTTTATAAGACTGCTCTTAACCTTTATTTTTGCTGCTTCCAACAAATGATTATCAGCGTACACACATTACTCTGGATCAGGGTCATGGAAGAGAACATAATTAAGATTTCAGCTGTACACTAGCTTAGACTGCAAAACTCAATTACATGAATATCCAAAGCAAATAATGTTGGCTGTTACATTGTTCTCTCTCCCTCTCGCTCGCTCTCGCTCTCTCTCTCCCTCCATCCCTCTTTTATTGAAAATAGATTCTATTCTTGTACAATATATCCTGATTACAGTTTCCCCTCTGTCTACCCCTCCCAGTTCCTCTCCGTCTGGATCCACTCACCCTGCCTCTCTTTAGTAAAGAACAGCTTTCTCAGAGATAACAAAAACGTAACAAAATAAAAGGAGAAGGCAAGCCAACGGAAGGGAAAGAGCCCGAGAGAAGGCACAAGAATCAGAGACCCACTCATTGACTTACTCAGAAGTCTCACAAAAACACTGAGCTGAAAGCCATAGAATACAGAGGACCTGGTGCAAACCTAGGCAGACCCTGTACTTGCTGCTTCAGCCTCTGTGAGACCATGTGAGAGCCCTGTTCATGATTTAGAGAGCATTGTTCTTTTGGTAAGATGTCTTCATTCAACCACTCCCCTCAAGGTTCAGGGAACTAAATGGAAGAGGAGAAGGAAAGATTGTGAGAGCCAGAGAAGATGGATGGCACCAAAGAAGCAGGGCCTTCCTGACAGAACAGGACAGACTCGCGTATGAACTCACAGAGGCTATGGAAGTATACCCAGGGTTGTACATGTTCAAGCTAGGCTAGTGTCAGAGATGAAAGGAGGAATCGGAGACAAGCTCCAACCCCTGACTGAGACAGCATCTCCAAATGATAACTGCCTGGAAATGAAAAATTATTTTTCTCCAATGGAGTTCCACTGGGTATATAAGCCATACTTAATCTAAACCCATTACCAGCAGCAGACCCAACACAAAAGAAACTGAATGGGGTTTTTTGTTTGTTTTTTGTAGATTATTTTCTCATATTGCTTTTTTGGTCATTTTTTTTATCTTACTGGATTTTTGCTTGTATATTATGGCTTATGGTTTGGTATTTTATGGGTTTTAGAGTGTGAGTATGAGTCTGTCTGTCTGTCTGTCTATCTGTCTCATGTGATTTTTCTTTTTTGTTCTGGTTTGTTTTGTCTCTTTTTTTCTAAAGAGGGAGAGAAAGTAGATGTGGAATTGGATGAGTGGAGAGATGGGGAAGAGCTGGAAGGAGATGGGGGAAGGAAAACTGTGATCCAAATATATTGTATAAAAATTATTTCCAACGAGAAAGAGATAAAGAAAAAGAGAGAAGGAGAGAGAGGGAAGGAATATAAGATCCAATAAGGAAGATAATTTGGAAGGAAAACAGGAAACAGTCTCATTTTCTCCAGAAAAAAAAAAAATCAGATTGTATGTTTGAATTAAGTTTCACTATATTCTGACAATCTCATTAAATTAGTGGGCGAGCTGAAGGGTGAAGAACCACAAAGACTATTTAACATGGTTGCTGACCAAGTTTATTGTTAGCTCTGTGAGCTTTGTTAGCCGCTACTCCATGTCCCTGGGAAACTTGGGTCTCTTCAGTGGAAACATCTAGTCTTTAGAGGCTTAACAGCACAGAGTGGGCCGTCAAGATGGCTTGATGCCAACCCTGAAGACCTCGGTTCAGTTCCCAGGCTCTGCACAGCAGGAGACAATCAGTCCTCGCACAGTTATGCTCTGACTCCACAATCACGCCACGGCACACATGAGCCCACGCACGCACACACAATGAAGAAGGGTATAACATGGTCTGAAGATGCAAAACTCTTTAAGGACTATTTCTGTTAGTCGGTAGGAATGGCTGCATCTAGGGAATTGGGCTGTTGAGCTCAATGTCTTGGGGCAGAGACTGACTCTTCACTGGGGGGAGGGGAGGGTGGCCGTGGGCTGAGGGGAAGAATGTGTGGAGAGGAAGGCACTGTTCCTGCTAGTTCAAGTTTCACACTCATTCTTCTAGATGTGTGTTTCAGTTACTATCCCTGGGTGTTAAAGGGAAATTCCTCATGCCCAAAGGATGGTAGAAATAACTAAGTAATCCATAAATGTCCTGTTGATCATTAGGAAGGACTGTCTTCTGAGAGCTAATCTTCTTGCTACCATCATCCTAAGCATAAGTCACTGGGGTTGTACAGGAAGGATGAGGGAAGGACTCTTTGCTCACATGTAGAAGATCCTTTTCCGTTATAACCAGGGGTCTCTGTATGTTCTTTTTCGGTAGGATGGTTGTGTTTATTGCATAAGGAGTGCCTTGCACAGCATCTAAGCTTTATAGATGTCCTGCAGTGACCATGTATGGTGAAGTAGCTAGTGAAGTAACCAAATGGTAAATATGTTAGCACTGACAGTAAAGATGCATGTAGGACACAGAAGTAGCCCACCACCTTTGGACACGGTGTGTCAGAATATGTTCGTTAGGCTGGCAGTGATGGGAAGAAGGAACAGATTTACATTTTGATGGAACCATTGGTATGTGTGCATCTTCTGGCTGTGCAATATGAATACATTATTTCAGAGGGAGCATATTTTCTTGCTAATACTTTATTATGTAGACTCTTAGAAAGACTAAGAATTTATAATATAAACTCTTAGAAACACTAAAAAATAAATTGAACATGATTGCTGATCAAGAAACTTAGACATGAAGGTCATACATAGAGACACAGGAACAAACACACAGAGAACTGAACACAGACAATAGCTGATCTTTCGAATATATATAATCAAATGTGCAAGTCCCAAAGTTCTGTGTGGAGGGATGCGTACTGATAATCAAATGTTGTAAAGATGCTTCAGAGGCTGGGAGATGGTTCCGTGGGTAAAGTGTTTGCTACCAAGCATGAGGACCTGGCCTATGTTACAGTGTAGTCGTACACATTATCATTCTCAGCACTGGTGCTGAAGTTTCTACGTGCTCATCACTGCTATTAGGAGCCCAGTCTGGTTCTCATCAGATGATGTGCTGCAGTGTATAGCCAATCCACTGTAGATACTTTGGTGATAATCTCTCCTTCTTGTAGGTTCTGCTGTTCCTGGAATCCAAGTGGACTGCAGGATTTTTTTTATTTTTTATTTTTTTTATTAATTTCACTTTATTCACTTTGTATCCCCCCATAAGCCCCTTCCTCCTCCCCTCCCGGTCCCACCCTCCCTCTCCCTTCTTCATGCATGCCCCTCCCCAAGTCCACTGATAGGGGAGGTCCTCCTCTCCTTTCTTCTGATCTTAGTCTATCAGATCACATCAGGAGTGGCTGCATTGTCATCTTCTGTGGCCTGGTAAGGCTGCTCCCCCCTCAGGGGGAGGTGATCAAAGAGCAGGCCAATCAGGGACTGCAGGATTTTTAAGACAAAGACTCTTTGTGTCTTTTGACTGTGACACCTAGGCCAAGTCATCATGAGATAGGCCGGAATGAAGGCAAATGTGCCAGGCTTCATACAGCTTTGAGTTACTTTGTGGGATCAAGTGACTTCAAAATGCCTATTATGTTAGCAAGTATTAGGTTGTCTTCTGTTTTCTGAAGGTGAAGGACCATGGGCAGTTTCAATACCAGTTTGGAAGGCTGGTTCATTTTGATGGGTTTTTCAGACTGGCCTCACCTGGAACGTGTCTTTTTTGTCTTCATTTCAATTTTCTATTTTCTAACCATCTTTGGCAACTCCACCATCATCACACTCTCACGGATGGACCGCCGACTACAAACACCAATGTACTTCTTCCTTAACAACCTCTCCTTCCTGGACCTCTGCTACACCACCAGTACTGTGCCTCAGCTTCTTGTCAATATTTCTGGAATAGACAAGACCATGAGCTATGCTGCGTGTATGACCCAGTTCTTCATAGTGCTCTTATTGGGTGGAACTGAGTGTGTGCTCCTTGTGGTGATGGCCTTCGACCGTTATGCTGCTGTGTGCCATCCACTCCACTACACAACCATTATGCACCCTGTGCTCTGCCAGGCATTGGCCATGTCCTCCTGGGTGGGAGGCCTCCTGAACTCTCTGATTCAAACAGGCCTAATCATGACCATACCTCTCTGTGGCCATCACCTGAACCACTTCTTCTGTGAGATGATTGTTCTCCTGAAGCTGGCTTGTGAGGACACAGGGGGAACAGAGGCCAACTTGTTTGTGGCCGGAGCCCTCATTTTGGTCTGTCCTGTAGCACTAATTCTAGGCACCTATGCACACATTGCTCATGCAGTGCTGAAGATCAAGTCAAGAGCTGGGCGCAGAAAGGCTCTGGGGACTTGTGGGTCCCACCTTGTGGTGGTTTCTTTGTTTTATGGCTCAGCCATGTACACATATCTACAACCTGTCCACAGGTATTCTGGGAGTGAAGGAAAGTTCGCTGCCCTCTTTTATACTATAATTACACCTATGCTGAACCCTCTGATCTATACCCTGAGGAACAAGGATGTGAAGGGGGCTCTGTGCAAGGTGCTAGGGAGAGGCACAGACACAAGATAGAAAGGGAACAGAAGTTTATACAAATATTGTCTAATATCATATTTCTCACATCCCAACACTCATTTTGCCTGTAGAGAACCATTAGAATAGAAGACATTCCTCAGTGAACATCATGCTTGCATTCCTTACTTATCTTTTTTCAGCCACTGACCCTCCATGTAATTTCTGCCTCCACAGTTAAAATTTAGAAAATGAAAAAAATTGTACTAAACAATTAATGCTAAACTCCCTTGTATTGGCTGTACATTGTATAAAGAAATTAAATTCCAGCAAAAACATTTTGTCGCTTGTAAAGTCTTTGACGCTCTTTTATCTGCTAGCCCTCCACCTATCTAATACATGGAACATGTCAAAAATATTCTTCTATGCACCTCTTCTGCCACAATCATATAAACAGCAAAATGAGTTTTTAAATATGTAAATTGAAAGGGCTAATACTAAAAATACTCTGAAATCCCTCTTAAAACTCAAATAGTATAATGTCAAAGCTGAAATAAATGACAAAAGTCAGAGGCAGAAGATGAATAACAGGATCACATTCAGTTATGGAAGTAAATCAAGAAAATGTCTCCAAAGAATAGAGGACATCTGCATGTATATTGTGGTTGTTAGCCTAGTGTTTTCATGGGACTCCTAACAGTGGGAGTGGTGTCTCTGACTCTCTTGTCTGCTCTTGGGACCCTTTTCCTCCCACTGGGCTGAAAACTGTATTGATGGACTCCTATCATTCAGGTGGTTTGTGGGCTCCCCTGAAGAGGGCAAAAAATGCAGCAACTTAAGATAAAGTGACATTAACCTTTGACCAGACTTGTGGGGTCCCTGGAAGATTTATTTTATTAGCAGGCTTATGAGAAATCCTAGAGGTCCAGCTACCCAGCAGCTCCCTTTTCCCCCATGGTATCAGGAGGTTTTAGTACCTTCAAAGTCTTAGCAGGAGAACCCTGTTACCACCACCTTTTTCTCCTAATAATGAAACCTATGCATATTAGAAACAATTTCATAAAGAATTTTAAAAGGTCACTCACTCCCAGCACCTTAATCACTGTTAACATTTTTATCATTCACTACTTCTCTGCAAAAATTGAAAGGCCAACTTCTGGCTATTACAAATAAAGCTGCTACAAACATGGTTGAGCAAATGTCCTTATTGTGTACTTAAGCCTCTTTTGGATATATGTCTAGGAGTGGTATGGCTGGATCTTGAGGAAGCGCTATTCCTAGTTATTTGAGAAAGTGCCAGATTGCTTTCCAGAGTGGTTATACAAGTTTACATCCCCACCAGCAGTGGAGGAGGGTTTCCCTTTCTCCACAACCTCTCCAGCATGTGTTGTCACTTGAGTTTTTGATCTTGGCCATTCTGATGGGTGTAAGGTGAAATCTCAGGGTTGTTTTGATTTGCATTTCCCTGATGGCTGATGACGTTGAGCATTTCTTTTAAGTCATTCTCTGCCATTCGATATTCCTCTACAGAGAATTCTCTGTTTAGCTCTGTTCCCCATTTTTTAATTAGATTACTTGATTTGCTGCTTTTCAACTTCTTTAGTTCTTTATATATACTGGATATTAGCCCTCTGTCAGATAGAGGGTTGGTGAAGATTCTTTCCCAATCTGTAGGCATTCGTTTTGTTTTGATGGCAGTGTCCCTTGCTTTACAGAAGCTTTTCAGTTTCATGATGTCCCATTTATTGCCCAGATGCCCCTAAACTGAAGAATGGATGCAGAAACTGTGGTACATGTACACAATGGAATATTACTCAGCAATAAAAAAAAAAAACAAGGAAATCATGAAATTTGCAGGTAAATGGTGGGAACTGGAAAAGATCATCCTGAGTGAGCTATCCCAGAAGCAGAAAGATGCACATGGCATATACTCACTCATATAGACATATAATATAGGATAAACCTACTAAAATCTGTACACCTAAAGAAACTAATCAAGAGGGAGGACTCTTGCTAAAATGCTCAATCCCTATCTAGAAAGGCAAAGAGGATGGACATCAGAAGAAGGTGAAAAGAGGGAAGAAACCAGGAGCCTGACACAGAGGGCCTCTGAAAGGCTCTCCCCTGCAGACCATCAGTGCAGATGCTGAGACTTATGGGCAACCTTTGGGCAGAGTGCAGGGAATCTTATGAAAAAAGTGGGAAACTTTATTAATTTTATTGTGATTTGTTATATATTTCTTAAGGTATTAAACTTCAAAGCAATCCTACTGCCAAAAACTTTAATTAAACTCTGACCAATATGGAATATTAGGTCTGTGTTTTATTTATGTGTGGATGACAATTGAAGGCTAGGATCAAGAGCCAATTATATCAGCCTGGCACCACTTCTTTCTTTTGCTGGGATAAAATATTTGTATTGTGGTTGGGGCTTCTTTTGCTGTGATAAACACCATGATCAAAAGCAGTTGGGGGAGTAAAGGGTTTATTTCATCATACACTTACAGGTAACAACCTGTCACTGGGGAACTCGGGGCAGGAACTCAAGTAGAAACCTGGAGAAAGGAACTGATACAGAGGCCATATAGGAAAGTTGCTTACTGGCTTGCTCTCCTTGGCTTGCTCAGCTGATTTCTTATTCATACCAGCACCGCCTGCCCAGAGGTGGCACCACTCACAATGGGCAGAGCCCTCCCACATCAGTCACTAATTGGGAAAATGCCCTCACAAGCTTGCAGAGGTATTTGTTTTCTTAACTACTGAGCCATCTCTCCTCCACCAGAGGTATTTTCTCAATTGTTGTTCCCTCCTCTCAGATGTGTCTAGCTTGTGTCAAAACAAAAACAAACCAGCGGCCACCACGATTGGGAAACAGATATCTTCCATACTATTCCCTCGAGCACAAAAAGCTTCTAGTCATGATTATTTTTGTTGGTGTCTGTGACTGTTTATCTGTGCCTCTCCATCTCTCACTCACATGCACTGAACTCCCACAGCAAGGCTCCACGCTGTGTAATCACCAAGACGTTGTGACCAGGGTCAAAGTTTATCTTTGTTATGAGACAGAAATATAGGAATCCACCAGGAGGTCTTTGGGAATAGTAAACTTCATTTGGTGCTCAAAATTGTAAATTCAACAGTATAGAAGTGTAATCCCAGCACTGGTAAAGACTAGTACAGGAGGACTGCAAGATCAAGGCTGGTCTGGATCAAAAAAATAAATAAAAGAAAGTTTTAATGTAGTTTTTAAAACCACCTTGGGGGCCTCAAAAGTCTTAGATCAAATTTAATTTTTTCCAACAACAGCATCATAAAAGAATGAAAGTATTTCCCAGAGAGGTTTTATCTCCCAGCTCATCAAACATGAACATGACTAAGACCTAGCTATTGACTGGCCACAAGGTTGGGCTAGGAAACCCGTTAAGTGATGGGGAAGATGCATAACTGAAGCAGGTGTTCCTCGGTGTCAGGCACGTGGGATGAGCCACACTGAACGTGGGTTTCTGGCCTTCATCTTGGAGAAGTTTAAATTGAATGATCCAGAAAACCACAGGCGTCGTGGCCCTGCAATGTGGTCTCAGTACGGCCTTGCGGGATTAACTTATCTTTTTAATTCTTGAGGGAGACAAAATTTTCATGGATTTCTAAAGGGGATTCAAAAGTCATACTCAATAAAAATATCTTTAACATCCATTTTCCAGAAAAGAAAGCAATATTAATCTGTTATCTCTACTAGACCAACTTTAAAAAGTCCAGACCCATCTCCAGCTTGGAAGATCGCAAAGAGGTTAAGTACAATATTACTCTTCTAGAGGACCCAAGTTTGGTCCCTACCACTTGGAACCTCCTGAAAGTCCAGCCACAAGGGATCCTACACTCTCTTCTGGCTTCCGTGGACACCTGTACTCGCATCACACATAAGCACACAGATACACACACAGTGGTTTAAATGAGAATGCCCCCCCCCTTAGGCTCATATATTTACATGCTTAGGCCCCAGCTGATGACTGTTTGGGAAGGATTAATGGGCGTGACCTTGCTGGAGGGCGCGTGTCACTGGAAGTGAAAGCCCAGGTCCTGTGTCTGTCTCTCTGTCTGTCTGTCTGTCTGTCTGTCTCCATGCCTGCTGCCCATGGGTCAGTAGGTAAAGCTCTCAACTACTGTTCCAGGGCCATGCCTGAGTTCATTCCATCATGAGGGTCACCCCTTTCATCCTGTACAAAAATCAACTCCAAAGGCACCAGTGACTTTAATGTGACTTCAGCCTGAAGTTCTGAAACTGCTAGGAGAAAAAGTAGGGGAGGCGTTTGGGGACAGAGACATGGAAACAGGCTTCTGAATAGGATTCTACTTGTTCAAGAAGTGACGCTAACAATTAAAAACTGAATTTTTGGAGACTGCAGGGGAGAAGGAGTTTGTCTCTATCTTGTACCATCTGATCCTGTGTCGGACAGAACTTTGAACCCAGAGCACGTTGTGCAAGTGATTTACCGCTGAGTTTTCTTCTTCAACCCAAGACTCTTCAATCAATTCATGAATGATGAACTCCTGCATTTCACCACTGGTGCAACAAACTTGCATTGAACAAGACAGGCTGGGTCAAGCTTTTGAAGATGCCTTTTGAAGTACCAACACAGCATTCAGTTGAGAACATCAATGCTCCCCAGAACATAAAAATTGCATGGCCTTCATTAACCATATCTTCACATTAGAGGCAATCCTGACTACTGTGGAATGATATCCACAGAGGAAGCCTCTTCCCCCATGATTGGAAAAGTGTAACAAATGGTGCAACAGACTTGTTTTTGGAAGAAAGTTTTCATCAATCCCTGCAGAACGTAACTGAAAGCCAGCTGGTACAAGTAAGTCTTCCTCTTCCAGTAAAAGGGAGAGAACTCAGGAGGAAGCTTCGGCTGTTTGAGTACCTTTTCCCTGTGCAACTTCGAAATGGTGTTTTGTATTCAATGGGTCAATAAAACCAAAGGTGTCCTTCAGGTTTAAAAGAAGAAGAAGGAGGAGGAGGAGGAGGAGGAGGAGGAGGAGGAGGAGGAGGAGGAGGA